TATATTTTCTAAGGTTATTTGTTTAAATTCTCACCAGATCTGCATAAAAATCTTCCTTAATTCTTTATCGATAATATTGGGTTTGACACAGCAATGGTAAGGAGTATAAAACTGTACGCAACTGTAGCACTGGTATAAACGAAGTATGGAATCACGTCACATTCAATTATTTTTTCCGTAACACACAGATCGAAGGAGCAGAGAATGTATAGTGTTGTCGTGTCACGCGGAGAAGGAATTCGTCAGCTCAGCTCCAAGGTGAAGACGGCTGGCCGGCGACTAAGGATGTAAACATAACCTGACTGAGTTACAAAAGAAAACGACTGTATTGGATCACTGTCCCAGGTTTTGTAATGCTAGCAATGATAAGAATAAAATCGCTTTTAAAAATTATTTTCGAACACACGAGAAATAAGCACAAGTAATAGACTAGAACAGTTAATGAGTGAGTGTCAGGGCCCTACAAAGTAAAATGCAAACTTCATATAGGTTAATGTTTTTGTGCATTCGATACATTGAAAGTGGTTTGATTTCTATGGTTAGAATTAACATATTTTAATCGATCTACTTACTTACGTGTTCCAAAACAGATCGATATTCAAGCAGCGCCACTGATTGGCTATCTTCTATTGTGACGTCACGAAAGTATATCGATAATAAATAAATAATAATTAATTGTTCGTCTGGTATCTTTTTGTACTTATTTTATTTATTTTATATATTTAGTTTCTTTATTTTCATTTATTCGAGATATAAGGTTTAACCTTTCTTTCAGAAGTACACACCGGGAATCGAGACGTTGTGTTGGACTACGTGACTAACTCACCCCACTCCCCCACCCATTAATTCGCGCAGTAAACGTGTCCGGACCTGCTCCTCATTCTTCGTCTGGAAACTGGTGTGATGAGGTACGGTGACAGGCTTCGCATCTAATTAGCTATGTACTTTTTAATTATTGTGATCTAAACATTTCTAATCGTTACTAGTATTCTCCGGCACTCTCTGTTGGCGATTTCGTTTCGTATTAATACTTTTCTATTATAAAATCAGTTGAATCTTTAAGTCGATATGTAGACAGGTCTGTGTGCTTACTTAATTGTTTCTTATTTCTAATCCGAATTTTTGTTTCCAGAAATTCTGATGACCGCGTGCAATGCTGTCGGTAGAATCAGTGGTTGTTCCGTAGTATAGGTTATTCTGTTTCGAAGCACAGTGGCTTCGAGTAGAGTTGCGTTTACATTTTAGGTTACACGCGAAGGTCGAGTCAGTGTATATTGCGCGTTTGTAAATTTCGTCCAGAGCATCGTGGCTCTCTGCTTTAAATATCGTGACAGTAGAATCATTTGTTCGCCGAATTTGATTTTCGGCCGCGTTAGTTTAATATTCTCTTTAATTTTCAAAAATTCAAATTACTCGTTACCGGTATTAGAGTCAGTGTATCACTGAAGAAAAGTATATATTGGGCGAAAGTCTACGAGTATAAAATGTAAGTATAATCCTGCTTTATTCTATACGCGTCTAGAAAAAAATGTTTTCAAAATCTTTTATATTAAATTATGAAATGTTTGTAATTTTTACGGTCGATTATAATTATTTTCTTGTGCTTTACAGCCTGTGAATCTCGTCCTTACATCCTGGAAACCATCAGAACCATTTAGATGACTTCGCTGATGTATTTCACTGGGCAGCAGCATCTCGTCATCGTCGCAGAGGTTATGCCATCGTAGTCAACGATTGGTGAGTTACGATTTTTGTTCCTCCGGTCCCCAATCATGTTGTAGGACGAAAGGTCCAAATCAACACGGGTGACCGGTTGTATACATGGTAATTTTGGCGAGTACAGTGACCGCGGGTATTTTTTATACCCGTGAGTAGAAACATATGTATATTGATTTATTTTGTAGTTCAGGTTAGGGTCTTTTTGTACTCCGCGATTTTTAATATGACATGAAAGTATATTATAGAGTAATAAAATAAACAGAGTGATGTTTATAATGTACATTGAATGGAAATTCCTTTACTTATAATTACATTATGTATATTCAATGATGATTATTGAATATATAACGTTGAATATTAATTGTTTTTTATGTTGTTCATGTCTGACATCCAGATATAATTCAGTCTTCCCTTACGTATTAAAAAATATGTTTCAATTCGTGTACAAAAAGACATTTCGCGACGGGTAAATTCTTGTGTCAAAGTATCATACATTATGTACTATTTTCATTTTTAAAAAATCCGCTTTGACGATGGAATCTCCCGAGGGTTAAATATTTTAATTAGTTCGCTTCAATAATTTACCGTAAATTTTCAAAGCAATTATTTCATTGTAAAGTCTTTCGTCTTAAAGAATTCAATTTTAATCAGAATAACTTCCTTTACTAACAATATTTTTTATTATTAGTATGTATTGAACATTTACTCTGCATTTATCACAAATAGAAAGTCCAGTAAAAGAAATACATTAAAAAAGAATAAAGAAATACTATTTCGTTATCCGCTAGCATTTATTATAATCATTTTTTCTAGTTCAGGATTTTCAGGATATTTTTCCGTGTTCGTTGCCTAAACTCCCCCAAGTGCCCAGGTGCTTCTTGCGTGAGTGAAGGCAATGGGCACGATGATTTAGTTTATAACAATTTTTAATAACATACTATATGTGCGACTGACATTGCGCTAGTGTATCGTGCGCGACGCAATTTCCACATGTGTGTGTGTGGTTAGGCTGTGGAATTGCGTCGTTTCAAAAGTTCAGTAAACAAATAAGCATACAAATAAAATTCTATTTCGTCTTTTACATATTTTTTGCATACGCGAAGATCATAGTACAAAATATTTAATGAAACATAAACGACAGTTAGCTTCTTGATCTTGAGAAACGTAATGAAGAAAATCGATTATTATTTATATAGTACATTTTATCAAAGATTCTCTTACTTGAAAATAACGTAATAATTATAACATAAATACGCAATGGTCACTAGTCTTCGTCAGTTGATTTCAGGATTTGGTACGTACCCTTAGCGTGTGAATGTTTGCAATGTTCGGGTGTCGGAGGAACCCCGGGGCTTCCTCTCTAGATTAGGCTCTTGCGCCCGGACATTATGCGTGAGAACCGTGGAGTGTCTGTTTGTGAGAATGCATTTTGCAACTTTTTAAATATAGGGTTAGGTAGGTAGGTCACTGAACTTCTGGTATGCGTGTGTTAGATTTAAGTAGGTAGGGTCAGGATAGGACTGTCACAGTCTTTTTTCGGGTAGGCGCGTTTTCGCATGGCAGTCCTGGAAATTCCTGTAGTTCGATTTGGAGAATCGAAACGTTATCCTATCCAAACGAATTGTACTGTTTGTTTTGGTTTAACTTTCGATTCTTGAAATCGCGCGGCTTCACAGTCGCTCTTCGCGCTCGCGGTCGTGGTTAGCCCCCCTCGAAACGTTCGTTCGGCTCGAGTTTCTTCACGGCTGTTCCGATAACAATTCCTAGAATTGTTTGAGGATTGCGTATTGCACGGAATCTCGAGCCTAGGCTTAAGTTTCAGGCTCGGGAAGGACCGCCCGAAGAAAGAAGAGGCCACGTGCCGAAGAGGCCCTGACAAATTGTCTCAAGAGCGGGCTGCAACGAATGGCTCTTCATCTTCATTTTCGGATGATGTTGGATAGTCATTGCACGTTTCTACTTTGTCACTGTACTTGCTTGTAGTTGTAGTTCTTGTAGCTTTTCAGATGGTACTTGTACCACAACGTCCACTATTTTTTTTATCGCGTTTACATCCAGGATAGCGTTGCGAATATTTAAACTTATCGCGATTACTTTTAGCGTTGCGAACGATGAACATTTTTCGCGTTTGCTTTTCAGGGTAGCGTCGCGAATGAGAATCGATCGCGGTTTGTCAATAGCGTTGCGAAATATAAATGTTATTCGCGTTTTTTTGTCTAGGTAAAGTTGCAAATACATGATCGCATAGTTCCATTTAGCGTTGCGAACAACGAGAATCTTTCGCGTTTCCTTTCAGAGTAGTGTCGCGTACCAGCATTGATCACGGTTTGAAGTAGTGTTGCGGAAAATAAGTTTTATTCGCGTTGTTTGTCAAACGTCAGGGAATCTTATGAAGATAAAAAGAAGAATTTAATAACGCCGGTTACTGATATTGTACTGAAATATAATTTACTTTTGCCGTAATATCTTATTTTGATATCTGTCGAACAAAATAAAATTCAAAGAGAAACGTAAAACACGTAATTGAAATATACCGACAGATAAACGGAAGGTTGACGGTAATATGCCGTACTTGTTAAATATTTACTCTCTTTTCTTCATTAAAAATTCCTACTATGCATTTTACATACTTGGCGGAGTTTGTCGTCGGCTTTTCCTATTTATATTTTTACAGAAAATACACCCTTATGTAATGACTCGACGGAAAACATCGTAGAGAATGCAAGGTAGAAATACGAATAGGAAGAGTCGTATCATTGCTCTTGAAAATATAAAGAAGTATCATGCGCCGTCGTATTCTCGGTCATTATGGTAATAATACAGCACGCGAACCAGAAGCAATTCGACGTTAGCAATTCTTTCGAGACGAAACAAAATATCGGTTCTACAAACTTCAGTAATCCCCGAACCTTCGTCCAAGAAACATTCAAGTTTGAAAAGATAAAGTGTCGACATTGTTCATATATTGGCAATATTTAAGTCATGATAGTAACGAAGGCGTAGTTTCCTTTTTCCATGGTGTTCGATCAATAACATTGCCTAAGTCTACGTCGAATTTTCCAACAAAGTAGTGAAACTAGATCTTAAAATAAAATTAACTGTCAGTGAATACATAAAAATGAGATAAATTATTTATAGAGTCGATAATGCATACGTTGCGATGGATATTTAAGATACACATCCTGTGCGGTTGTTCGCGAACGTCTCTTTGGACGTCTCCGATTAAAAAGTTTTTGTACACCGTTTACACGTTTGTTTTGTTCGCTATAATACACAGCCTCATGTTGACTCAAATTTTCGACATAATATATAACGTCGACAGCCAAGAGAGTTTAAGCGACAACTTTTATTTGACGTTGGGAATCTTTGGGTCTTGTTGTAAAATGTGCACTTTGTTAATAAGTCGTGAGAATTATGCAATTTTGATCAACACTCTTCATAAGGAACCATTCGTACCGGTGAACACCGATGAAATCAAAATTCGAACGAGATTCGACAAATTGGCAAAGTGAGTCCATTACGCTTGATTTTAGTACAATTATTTCGATGTTTGGTAGGATTACATAGTTTTGCCAGTAATGTAGTAATCTTCGTCAAGAAACCGACAGTAATATTTTCACAGATGGAACGCGATTGCCTACATGACGGTATTCGAATCCTGTTTAGGATGGATGATCGCTACGTCGATCGTTCCAGATTTCAGAAGTCGTCAATTAACGTATCGAATCTGGTTACCGTACAACTATTCTTCTTCCTTTGTTTTTGCTATTACCTACGGTTACCAAGCTGTAGGTATGACGATCGGCACGCTTGTGAACATTGCTTGCGACAGTCTTTTCAGTGGTTTGTTAATTCACACGTACTGTCAATTCGAAATACTCCGACATCGTCTGAAGCATATTGTAAAGAACCAAAACGATTCGGCGAAACAGTGTGCTTATCTTCATAATCATATATACAAGTTGGTCTCCCGTTCTTTTTACACTCTGAAAATTTACTGTATAAACTGTATACGTGGGTCTACGAGGATCCATTAACGATCATGACAGGGCTAATAGTTTGTGAAAGTAAACGAGTTCGATAAAATAATTTTTTCTAATATCGTTTTAGATTCGCCACGATGGTGAACAATGAATTTAAGACGATGGTACTTATACAGTTTCTGGTGAGTATTACGATGTTTTGCTTCGACCTTTACCTGTTGACGCAAATTGAGGTGGGCTCAAAATTTATGGAAATGATGCTCTTCGCGATGTGTACGCTTATGCAAATATTGTACTACTGTTGGTACGGGAACGAAATTAAACTGAAGGTACAGCAAACAATTCAATTTGCCATTAAATCGCTGAAATTTTATACGCTTTCTTCGGTAGAGTCTCGAAGTACCGAACATGGTAATTGAAAGTAACTGGACGTCTTTGGACAACGACGCTAAGAAAATTCTTTTAATGATTATGAAACGTGCGACGAAACCCATCGAATTTTCCAGCGCGCATCTCGTGTCTATGAATCTCGAAACATTTAAAACAGTTAGTACAAAATATATATCTATATTTTCTCAACTGGTATCAAAGACCTCTAAATTGTTGAAACAGTTGGATTCATTCTAGTAGTAACAATCTCAGACGGTTAAAAAGAAAGTCTAAATGAAATGGAAACATTTGTTCCATTCTGGCGTGGTCTGCATGACTAAGAGAATGTTCAGCGTAGGTGATAGTACAAATTCGTTGCATGAAATAAATAATAAAATTATATATTCTAATACATAAATGAATGGATAATCAAAATATTAATATTTCGAAGAGTGAAAATAATATATTTACGTATAGAAATAAAGTATAAATGTCTCTTTACGGTTAGTAAGATATATGGTCCTGAGAAATGTTTGTTAAAAGTTTGATGTTCACAAAATTTTTGTACGTCAATTTTGATTTTCTTTCTAACTTGATGTATGAAAATACCTTTCAATATTTATAAGAATTGTCACGTAAATCGGTATCATTGGTAATACAGTATTCAAAGCGTGGCACATTTTATAAGAATAATCCCTTCGCAAACAATAATCGTACTCATTAATCATACGCTTGTTGCAGATATTAAAAACCTCATACTCCGCGATGAGCGTGCTCCAACAAGATAAAATTCATTAGATGGGGCATTAATTTTAAAGAATATTTCTCGGTGAGTGGAAAATAGGGATGAAAATCGAGTTACGCGCAAAACTCGAGAACTGTGCTTGCGATCTCTGGTATGATTAGCAATACACTTTAAAAACAATTGTTGATATTTCATTCTGTCGATGTTAAATAATGTTAATGTTAAATAAAATTACCGACATCGATCGCGAACGCGTATTCGGAACGAACGGAGCACCGTAGAGCTTAAACATCATACTTGAAATATTTTATTTTCATTCGTCCAACGAAAGTATTTATTCGTTTTGTTCAACATAGAAAATCGAATTAAATAATATGATTCGTGGTAACGTATTTGTAGAAAATGTCACGCGTCCAAGACGGTAAAAGTAGGGATGTCCAGTACGTTTTGACACTAGTAAAGGGTTCAACGACAGTTTTCAGGACCTAGGGGCTAATCGACGGACCTCGCGTACTCCTCGTCCAATCTACAATCTAATCCCCGTTAGCGTAACTTCGACTCGCCATTCGGGAACGAAATGGGCTTCGAACGAGAGACTTTCACGATCTTGATCTTTCGCGTAGCTCTCGTCGTGCATTTCGCGAACGCTCTGCACGTAATCGCGAACGCGTTTCACCGTCTTCTCGGCATCCGAGAACGTCTGAATTTAGTTTCCGCGCCGCCATTTCCACGCGGTTACGCTCACCGCCTAATCTCCGACGCGCGACGCCGTTTTGTAACAGCGTCGTCTATTTACCTTCGACTTCTGCTTGGCGGGATTCGAATACCCGTCAGACGGAGGAGACGCTCCAGAGGGTGGATTTGACGTTGTGAATGGGGAGAAGTACCGAAGGGGAACAAGCGTTCCGATGGACGAGCTTTTATCCCGATGCACGTATTCGAGAACGTATTTCTGGTCATCGTGGAAAAAGGGGAGACAAACGTTAAAATTCTATTCATAGGCGTGTTAATGCATAGTCATTGGCTAAATAATTAAATGGTAGAAGAAGAAAGGCTCGTTTAGTGGTCTTGTGAAACGTAGAGTTAATAGATTTATCATTGAACGCTGATTTAAAACGTTAGGTTGCAAAATTGAAAATTGATGAAAAATACTAGTTTGAGAAAGAGAAGTTAACAATTTTAAAATAGGTTAACCGGTGGTCAAATAGCCCGATGCTCGAGTATCTGCTTTTTTCATCTTTGCCTTGATCTTTACGTCCAATTGTGTAGCGGTTACAAGTTCATTTATAGTTGTTTCATGCCTGGTGTAGCCTCGCAATAATAACAGCTCGAAGCAAATTCACCCAGTTCAATTTACTACGTGACAACGTTCGAAAAGCCTCGAGGAGACTCGGCGTAGGTGTCAGAAATTTATTTTACGGGGCTCGTTCGTCGGAACGTTCTCGTTTCATCGTTCGACAGATGGAAACAGTGTTGTCCGGTCGGAAATCGACGCAAACAAATCAATCGGTACGGAATGAAATCAAACAAAAGCGCGATACATTTCAGGCATTCCGCTCACGCCTTGGTTCTTCTGTTTCTCTTGTACGGTCGAAAGCCGGGGGATGAAAGATGAAAAATAGGAACTGTGTAGTCGTAGCAGCGTTGTCACTCACTTTTTCGTTTTCTATCTCTCAGCCCGGCTACCTTTTCGTTTTTGTTCTCTCGACACTCTCGCGACGGAGACACGCTCTACTAACGATGGACGATCTCGTTTCGCGTTGGACGATGTCGCATCCTCTCGTCACCACTTTGTATTCGCGGCAACGGATCTTCCGGCGTATGCCGTTCGCGATTTAAAAATGAAAAAGAAACTTTTTAACGCGAACAAATATTTCGCTAAAAAGCATAAACGGTTCGATCGAATGGGCCGAGATGCCCATTCGTTCAAAATTATTATTAAATTATCATCATCGGTTGCCAGTAATTTCGACGACGCAAATTACGACTCGTAATTAAGTTAGCGGTGGTACTTATATGATTAAGTATGGATGACATGCAGTTCGGTACCAACGTACATAAGGGAAAGTATTGGAAATCGAACACTCAAATATTTAATATCAATTCTCGATATCCAATGCTTTTGTAACGAATATTCGATCGGTAGCAAGAGCCTCATCCTCGAAAGAGCGTCAGTACTTGAGGTCTCTGCTGTTTCCATTCAGCACTACTCGAAGCCCTCAAAGGAATAATATTACTCAACCGGGATGGAGCGATTATAACGCGGTATGAAAAAAGGTGGCGTCTTGAGGCCGCTAAAACTACTATTCAAGAAATAGATGTTGACATATAGTAACGAGTTAGTAAACTATGAAGTGGTATTAACAACGGATAGCTTAAAAGAGCCATGGAAAAGATCGAACGGATCGATGCTGCAACAAAAATTATTAGGAGTTGTACATGATCGATTGATAAGACAACGAGAGAAGCCTTTTAATCGAGTCTTATAAGAATAATGAGTCGCTTGCGAGTAACCTGGCTGCTTGAAAAAGTCATTAAAGTAGAAGCACCAAGTAAATCAACAATTTTCAAGGTGACAGCGAGCCAGAATGCCCTATGGAAGTATAACAGTGAGGATGCTTTTAAAGTGACGAGAAATGGATGATAAAACTGAGAACTGTAAGAGCTTTCCATGCTATATCGTAGCAATGGGTTATGAAACGAAAAGGACGAGATGTATACGAGAGCATTACGTCGAAAAAAGGTGCAGAAAAAAATATGGTACCACGACGCGAGGTTCCATTTACGGTAGCGATTCGGTATACAGCGGTCATCGAAGGAGTTCAAAAGCGATTTCTTAGCGAATGTTAACCAGAAATCTTCGTTCTCGGGAGCAATCGGGCTAACCAACAAGCGGCCATTGCCCGTTGAACCGAATCTGGCGTTTGTGCAAAAAGGAACCCGTTTATGGTTTTCAATCGAGTCGTATCTTGGAATGGTCGATACCAGAGTTTGGTTCAGGCCGCTCAAAGAAGTAATGACGAAGAGACTTGTGGTGAAGAGTTACGCACGGTCGAGAAACCAGGGAAAGGTCGCAGAAGTCACCAAAAGAGAGACTCTGGGCGCATATGAAATGCACCGACGAAAAAACGTTCGTTTTTGTTTTATTCGAGGGGCAGGGCAGATGTTGCCACGTCAGAACGAAACTCTGACGCGCGTTATTAATTCTCGAGCTCGACGTTACGTCGCCGCCCGATGGTCGTTTACAGTTTTCTTTCATTAATATGACTGCGGGACGTAAGCATTTTATTAAAATGAAAGTGATCGGTTAACGAAATAATTGGTCGTCAGCGGTTCAAGCACAATTTCCCTTCGTTATTATATAAATTCGTTGGTGATAGCTACGTTTTGTCGATGCAATGGTTCGTATCGTCTTTAAGGGAGGTTTCTCGTGTAACAGCAGTATAAACACATGACTTTTATATAATTAGTTCTAGCAAACTTTCTGATAATATTGGACCCCCTTAAATTCTCGAATAGTTTTTGTAAGTGTCAATTAAGTTTTTCGCCGACGCAGAAAGGAAAAAATCAGGGGATCGACCACGTCCGCCGGAAGTTCTCTCTTTTGGTTCCCTCGGAAAAGGGGAACGCTTTGAAGGCGCGCGCGTGTCGGAACTCTTTGAGCGCGGGAAAGGGTCTCGTCGAGGACAGCGTGGAGAGAGGAGACAGAAACTCGAAGAAAATAGAAAAGTGTCGCGGCGTGTGGAGCCGTTCCCTCGCGGGGATCGTCGAAAATGAGCGCAAGACCCGTGGCCGACGGGGAACGAACCTGGCAAAAAGAGTCGAAGCCACCGGGGACGAAAGGGTGGAATTGAATTCGTTGTCAGGAAAGGGGGTAGTACGGCGCTGTTATTAATTTACGAGGATCAAAGTCGGTGTCACGCGAGGCTAATTAGTCCCGTGCGGCGCGATGGCAAATGCGGCCTCCGCACAGGTTTCGAATGGTCGAATGTATTCTGCGAAAGAGTCGGCGAAAATCTAATTACGGTGTGGACTCTGCTCGCGTATGGGCTTTAATGATTTTCGAGTACCCGCTCAGGAGCGAACGAACGCCCTTCACAGCGAGTCGAGGACGACGTGCTTTGGGCAATTTCGAATCTATTAGACGGCTCGTACAGGGTGTTTAATTTCAACCCTTTACAGTCCGGGTTTTCTCGAAAATTACAGGAAGCAGGACTGTGCCTAGATATTTTTACGCCTATGTTGAAAATCACGTACGGTATCGTTTGTTCGTTCAAACATCATCCTCCTATCTAGTACTTTATTTAAAAAAATAGAATTGTCAGCGAACGATACAATATTATTTGACATTCTGTTCGAGCCACACGACGAATTTTACAAATATTGTTCTCCGTGTTACGCGGTGTATGAGCATGCACGTAATACCCCCGATATTACGTTAGGTTCCGTGAAACAGAAAGTATTTATTGCTCGACCCATTTCGAAAAATGTTTACCGACTCGTAGCCCAGAGCACGGTGCCAGAAAGGACAACGCGACCGTACGAGTAATGGACCGATCAGGGTGACGGAGAGCGAAACAATCTGGAATTTGTTCTCCCGGGGTAAGCCTCCCGTCTTTCTTGTTTTTCAACTCCACCGGCTTTGGCGGACGTACCGGAAATTACAGCGTGGCGCCCCTCGATTTCTTCCATCTCCGGCGGAGATGTAGCGAGCCACAGTGTGTGTTCGCTTTCAGGTGGCCGGGATAAACCACGGCGTGCACAATCTAAGAGAACGATAACGAGGCGATCGACGTGTTTCCTCGACAAAATTCTTGCCTCGAGTTTTCTCCCGGCCCCATCCCACTTTTCCACTGTCTTTGCACGCGAGACGTGATTTTCGTTTCCTGGGTAAATTTGAACCGAATGCGATTCTAATAACAATCTATTTTTATTCTCTTTCGGGTGCTTTCGATTGTTCAATATTCTAGCGTTAAATTGTTTGCTCAGAAAGACTTGGAGACACGAGACATTTTTTGGTTGATCGCGAAACAAAAGCTATCTCGTTTTAACA